CGGTGGGGGGTGATGACTAGCTGCCTTCCTTCTAGTCTTACACTGCTAAATTAGGGACGGCTAGCTCAGATAGCCCTCGTGTAGCTTTGTGCGAAATTCAAAACAAACAAACATAAATCTGGTGGTTTGAAATGCATAATTCTGTGATTACTGGTAGGGATCCTATCACAAAGTTATCTATATCTGTGGTCCTGCTGCCCTGGCCACCAACGTGGAATATGGGTACCATGACCCTTTAAATCCAACCCGAGTTGTGGAACCTTTGCTGTTTGGTTGGGGCTGGACCATCGTACTTGTATTATATTCCACCCTTTTCAATTTTCTGTAGTTCTGGGTGAAGAACATACCTGTTCTGGATGTAGTGTGGTGTTCCCCACTTTTGATACCACTTCCTGTGGTACATATTTGTTCTCAGCAGACACTTTCTGTATGATCTGTGTCCTCACTGGCCCCTCTGCCTTCTCAATGTTGGATTCTAGCACTCAAGTGTCAGTGGAGGCAATTTCCTAAACTGAAAATGTATTTCCAAACATACTTGCCTCCGCTGACACTCTCCCTCCCTTCCTCCCAACTAAGAGCCGGTGTTAGTGGCCCGGAATGAGGTAAGTCACAAAAAAGTGATTTTATTTGTCTGCATACAATGCTTATATATACAATACCAGCATAGAGGGCGTGTGAGGGCTGGCATAAAGTTTTGCAAGTTAGATATTGGCAAGGGCAGTCGAGTGTGGTATATAAAGACTGGAGCAAGTGAACGTAACGTTAGGTGGGAAAGATGAAGATCGAGAAATAGCTATTAGTGTCAGCGGAGGTAAGTATATTTGGAAATACATTTTCAGTTTAAAAAAATTATAATGTAGAAATGGATGGAATCTTGGGAGATTATGACAATTTTTGAAATGAGTAACAACTTGCAGAACACAGACTTTTACAATCTATATATTTCCTTGGCATACTTTTTTGGTATATGTTCTAAGTCTCTGCTACAAGGAAGTCAACACACTGGCACATTTTTTGTCAATGACATTGTTAGATGACTTTATTATGCATATATATATATATATTCTAATTAGAAGTATTTGGCCACTTCAGCAATCAATTTACTCTTATGGCCTCTGTTAAATGATTTTTTTAAAGTGTTTACCTAAATTTTGCATCTCAGTAAATAGTTCCTAATGTTATTTTTAATTTACTGAAAGTTTAGCCTAAAGTGAACTAATAAATTCCATTTTATGAATGAGGTGCTTAATTTTACTGTCATTTCACTTATCATAGGCTCTGTGGAGACTTTGACTGATGCAGCACTACGAGAACTGGAGAGTCGTGAGAAAACTGGAAGTCCTAGCTCACCAGAGAAGAGCACTTTGATAATTCATGGTGTATATAGAGTGAGTTACTTTGTTTTGATAAAGCATTATTTTTGCTTTCTAAATAAAGATGTTAAAGAAACTTAAGTTTTCCTTAACTTGTAGCATTGAATTATAATAATTTTTCTTATAATAAAAGTCGTTTATTCCGGGCCGTATATTCTTATTATGTTTCTCAATATTTTCTCAAAATTTTTAGTTGGGTATGGTTTATTAGGTGTAATAAATTTAAAAGAATAATTGATGGTCATTAAGCTAAAGTAAATATTTATTATTAATTCTTTCTGGGTAATAAATATATTCTTTATCTGATAAAATAATATTGGGTTATCTGTAAAAAAAATTATGTATATATATATCTTCAAGTAAATTTTAATCAGATTTAAATGACTTTCATTAAATGTACTTGTTTTACAACAAAAACCTTTTAGATCAGAAACCGCAAGAAACTTTTAGATCAGAAACCGCAAGAAACTTTTAGATCAGAAACCGCAAGAAACTTTTAGATCAGAAACCGCAAGAAACTTTTAGATCAGAAACCGCAAGAAATTAATTAATCACAGCAGATTTTGAATCTTATAAATAAGAACATAAGAAAGTTCTAGTTGTATGAAAGACAAAAAAATCCTTAACTCTAATTGTATGATTATTGCACAATTCCCACTTTCCAGATGAATTGTTTTTCTTAAGTTTGTTCTAGAAACAATCCCAAGATTTTTTAAGCAGTTCTGAACACATTGATCTGTGTTTCTGTGAAGGTAAAAATTGCCTGGTAGGTTGTAGCAGCTTGAGTTCATAATTTCTCATAAACGTTTTCTTTTATCTTTTATAAAAGAATTTTCAAGGTTTTTCCCGTTCGGAATAATATGATCTTTATCTGATTTTCGTGGGTCAGGAGATTAATAAATATAATACTTTTGTTGTTTCAACTTGGCTAATTTGGTAAACTTAATTCTTTAGTATTATTTTTAATAAGTCAGAAACCTTCTATATGTTTTAGTAGATTAAAAAATAACCTAAGCAACCATATCTTAATTTATATCACACAAAAGTAAACACCAAAAAAATAAAAAATAGGAATGTTATTATGTTGCTCAGTTTGCTTTTATATTTTCTTTTTTTCTGCTATATTATACAAAAACCTAAAACCTCTGTGTGTGTGTGTGTTTAAGCTGTTTTTTAGTAACTTTTCTTGTTATGTTTCTTTTGCTAAAATATCTATTACTACAGAATAGGTTTTACTGTTTTTCTTTCTGTATATTCACCTGTCTTGTACAAAAACCCATAAGAATAATTTCTCTTCCCTCCAGAGTATGATTGGCTGGCCTTGATGAGCTTTCCTCAGCAAATTGAAGTTTAGTGGCTGTTTACATACATTTTTCTGCTTTAGCAATTATTATGGTTTATGTTTATAAATGACTGAATCTTTTACTCCCGATTCCAAGGTAATCTTACAGGAGTCTAGAGTTTATGACTTTGAAAGATTCTTTACTTGAATTGTTTTCTATTGTTTTTACTTATATTTGTTTTGATTTTCTAGATAAAATATACTTGGTTATATTTTTTGTTTACATTTTATTGTTTTTGAATGTAAACTTCTTTTACACAAGATGTAAAACTCTACTCAAGTTTACTAACTTTATCACAGGACAAACTTTTAAATAATGTTTTCTTTAGGCCCACAACGTATAGGTAATGTATCATCAAGTAATCAGATTTTGTGTTCTGTACACTTAATTTTGTTTTTGATACTTGTGAATAATCCTCTCTATGTATTTTATTGTTAAGGTATATACTTATGGAGAACAAGTATTTATTTTTGTGACGTTTGTGTTCTTTGCCAGTAATTTGTAATTGACTGTACTTTAAAACATATATTGAGGCAAGACTTTAAAATAAACAAGAATGAGAGCCCTTTTCAATCTTTTTGTGGTGCAAGGAGGCTTTAGTGGCATCTACTTACCATTAGCAAATATTATATGTGTGTGCGTGTTCATACCATATAAAGTTAATGTAAAGCTATAAGTGGTCGTTAGAAGTACTGTTAGCAGACTATGTGATAATTAAAGTCCTTGTTCATTTTTTTCATGAAAATCTATTCTTTTTGAAAATTATATGGCTATTAACCTTGTTGTTCTTTCTTATGCATGCCGACATTGTGCAGGAAGGTGTCCACCCAGCTCTGAAGGTACGTACTTTTGTGTCCTTTAATTGCCTGTAGTGTGTAAGCAAAATTATCAGTATTTAGTTTAATGTACATACTAATTACTACATATATCATACCCATATTGTTCCTAAGTAAATGTATGGCTTAATGATATTTTTATGTTTATTAGATCTATAGATTGATATTTTTATGTTTATTAGGTCTGTAAATTGATATTTTTATGTTTATTAGATCTATAGATTGATATCTTTATGTTTATTAGATCTATAGATTTATATCTTCTAAGCATCTTAAAAATCCTTTGCAAGCTGTAGTGCGAAGACGTTGCAGGTAGATAACACACCCTGAATGTGTAGGTTTACACTTCTGTGTCAGTTTACTTTCTTTTTGCTTTCTGTCGTCAGTAATTTTCTGTTTAAATGTAACTGCACACTCCTGCAGTTTTATTTTTTATTTCATTACCCATACAAATTATTAATTGTAATTAAATTTATTTAAAATAATTAGATGTGATTTTTTGGAAATTTATTCACTGGTATGAAATTATACTGCAGAAGTGTTCTGTCTATTTTGAATAGGAAATATCCCACACATTGAAATAAATTAAAGATGGGTAACTGTACAAAAAAAATATATAAGCAATGTTAAACTGATAAGTTCCTAAGAATGATGAATTAACTTAATTAAACATTTTCTATTTCTCACATATTTTTATCTTTGCATTTTAACCAATTTTGATTATCTTATAAAAATGAATATTTTAACCCATTCAAAGCAATAGAAACAAATTTACATTTAGTGTTTGTTTGTCAGGAAAGGTTAAGAGATCTGATAACAAATTAGCTTTCGTTTAAAATATAAATATCTCGTGTTTGTAGTAAAATATAGTTCCTTTGAATTTAAATCTACGGTTATAAACAGATGATAGGATAATTTAAAAAAAAGATTTGAAAAAAATGTAAACTTATCGTAGATCGAGTAGCTGAGCTAACTATTATATTTTAAATAAGTCAATCATTCCAATGGCGCATGGTTCTTTCCCTTTAATAATCTGTTTGTACAAATAATATCCACTTAAAAGTTGGAAACTTGCAGTTAAATAATTCACTTGCAAAGACATTACTTGTATATTTCTCATTTCCTTCACCACAAATATTTTTTTATTTCTGTCAGTGACTATCTTGTTATAAAAACAAAGATGGCAGAGGTCGAAAATTTGTGAGGTTAAATGGTGAACTTTGGAGACAAAAACCAAACTTGTTATTGTGTCATTAAACTATGTTTTATTTAATATTAAAATATTTCAGGAAAGAACTTTAGCAAATATAAATTATGTTAACTTCATGCATAGATTTATATCTGTGCTTCAAAGTTTCTGAGTTAGAGTGTAACTTGGTCTTTAATTTTAGTTTGAATGTTTTTCCTATCAAAAGTTCCCTTAGTTTCAGGCAAAATGTTATGCATTAAATAATAAAACTTTTGATTTTAAAGAAAGATATACTTTGTTGATTAAATTAATATTTTGTTAAAGTAAGAAAACCAAAGTATGTATGATGCTTGCAAAATTTTGTTTTATTTAACACATTTATTTATGGTTTGCTGTGCAGTTTTGTGGTTAAGTTTGTAGTTTTTTTACATATGAGATATATCTGAAAAATACAGTACCTTTTTTTTTCAAAGTTATGATACCAATAGATTAAGAAAGATCATAGTTTTTATAATAAAAAATAACCACTATCTTCACATAATTGAATTGTTTATACGTTAGATTTTGAACATTTGATGTTTTATAAAAAACTGCTTTTTGAGCTTAACTTTGGCAAAAAAATCTACACCATTCTGTAGCAGTTAGTAGGTATATTATACACTAACATGCCACATTGTAATTATTGACTAAGTAATACAAACATACATTACTACAGAAATTTGGTATTATAACTGGTAAAGATAACACTGGAATGCTTAGAAGACGAATATCTCTTATCTCGAGGAAAATATGGCACAGCTAAAAGCAGATATGCATTTCCTATGTTTTGTATTTTTATTCTTATGTAATTATTTTTGTTTTTTTTTGTCTTTAGAAACTCCCAGTAGTATTTAAGTAATACTTCTTAATTTTTATTTTATTTTGTCTGCTTTCCATGTTTAATTTGTTACATCTGTAAGTAGATTCATTCCATATTACTACAAGGAGACTTAACTAGGCTGAAACATGGGAAGTACCTTAAACGAGAATGTGGGACTAGTACGAAGATGTTCTACATGTAAACATTTGTGTATGAACGTCACATGGCTTTCAAAATTGTATGTGTTTTCGTATCACATTTTAATGATGTTAGTAAATATTGTTAAGAACTAAAAAATATGAAGTTAACTATGTAGATCCGAACTAAAGTATAATTTATAGAATGAATACAGTCATCAGTATCAGAAATTAATACAAGTACGTCAGAAAAACCTCGTAATGGTTAGAATGCATTGAAATGTCAGAATGTCAGTCTTTTAAATAATAGTGTGTGATAAGTTATCAATACTTGAACCCAATAATTTAAAGTATATTGGGTATAAAGTTTTATAAACATAGTCTTATTTTCGTATGAAAATTAATATTCTGATAATTCTCCAGACTCTTTTTATTATCTTAAGTTTTATTTCTCCACCTGTAAGTTTACATGTATCAAAACTAATGCTTGAGTTCTAACATTCTGAATCTTCTTTGGCTGTAACATTCCTAACATGATATCTCAACAGGCTTCTCATCTTCTAATTCTGGAGAGGTGTATATTTTAAAGTGAAGCTTTGTTGATTAGTATATGTGCATTCATTGTATGTACTTTTTTACATCTACACAGAGAACTGTTCTTCAAACTTTTTTCTAGTCTTCTGATATATAGTGAGATCATATGTATAAAATGTACTATTTTTGTGTGCATGTATACCACATAATGTTTTTATAGTGAAAAAATGTGTGTTTAAGATCAACATCACATGATTTTGTATTAAACTTCTTAAAAAAAAAGTACATTTTATTTTATTGTTTGGATCATGTAGTTGAACTTCTTATATCTAGATAAAAAAATATAAAATAGTGGTTATTTTTACATTATTTGTATTGCATCCCGCATCCTTAGCCACAAAACTGCTCAGTAGGTCATTGTATCAATTTCACATCGTGCCTCTCTTGTGTAATATAGTTGTTCTCATCCACTCATCATCTGTGTGCAGGTAAAGTTGGACAAAAACGGCAGATGGCGCGAAGTTTCTCAGGTACCATGATCTGAATCACTGTTGGGCAGAATTTTAAGTAGTTGGTATGATTTAACCTCTGGTGGTGGTGGTAGAAATTCATTTAATGATTTTGTTTCTTTCTGTATCCTTTACTTTGAGCTTTTGTGTTACTAGTGCGTATTGAATGCACTATCACAGTGTTTGATGTACTATTCTGTTATTTGATGTTTGATGTATTACCCTATTATTTGGTGTTTAACGTACTATCCCATTGTTGATGTTTGATGTACTTCCTCAGTATTTGATGTTTGATGTACTACCTAATTATTTGATGTTTTAATCTGCATTGATTGTAACATTATTTTGAGCTGACTATTTTTGATTTCAATTTAACATGAAAATAGCATAAACTGATTTGAGTGAAGTATTATACTATACATTACAATGCTTACAAAAAAGCAAATTGAAAATGTTTTTATTTTTATTTTAAATTAACAAATGAGATTCATTTGTATCATAATTTCTTAATAGTTCATGTATGGAAGCTTCTTTGTGCCGATATATTTTCTAGAAAATGATCAGCTCATATTTAATTTCTCTTTCTTGAGTGGGTCAGTGTATATAGATTTTTTATTCAATAGTGAATTTTCCTTTTGATGAAGAAATGTCAGCAAATTAGTGTTTTAATTCAGACACAATCATGAGAAATACATATTTGGGTTGATTAAAAAAACAGAAAAATCTGTTCCATTTAGTCGAATTTCATCTTTATTTAGAGTTGACCCGTTTTTCCTGTAGGCATATTATTATTTTTTTTTGTATAGTGCTTGCACTTGTAAGTATTATTCCAGATCATTCTGCATTTAAAATATATAGATATAAATTTTTTTAATTTCAAAATTATTGATATATGTTTTTTTTTATAAAGTACATAGGCAGAATATTTTCTGGGTTTTATCATAAAAGAAAAAATAAATATTGTATTAATTTATTGTAAACTAATTAGAATGTGAAACTTAATATTTAATACTGATAAATCTGTAAAGTGACTTCAACTAGAAAATTACAAAAATTATACACATAAATACTTTTGTACAATACAAAATGTATTAATGAGAGATCTTGTACTTTAAATTCTATGGAATATGATGATTAACCAAATCAGTGCATTTATATAAAGATTGTCTTAAAACTTAAGATATATAAGAAACACAACATAAACTACATAACAAAAAAAGCATTATAAGTTAAATGACAAAAATAAGTGCAGTAGACATACTTGACTAGTGGAATGTATCTAAGGGTCATTAATTTCCAGTTCTACATTTTTCAGTGATACTGTACAGCCAGAAAAAATAATAAGCTTGTCTTGACTGATGAGCACCTTTCGGGTGTCAATTTGAAAAATTTGTTACTCTAAAATATATTAGAAGTAATATTTCGTCATTTTGTAACATTTATTTAGTGTAATTTACAAAGAAAAATTGAAAACTTTCAGACTTACATTTCTGCACACCTTGCCTGTAAACATTGTACTTATAAATCTTCTAATATTTTTCTGCACACCACTGGATAGAGCAGATTATAAACTATTTACTTCAATGTAGTGTGAATAAGGTATTGGGAGAAGTAATTTATGGTTTTGTTGGAAAATGTCGAGACCTACCTCTTGCTAATAAGAAGGGGATTTGGACAGCCTTTTCCCACCTTGAGTCTCTGCTGTGCTGTCCTTCATAGGCTTTTTGAACATGATTTCCCAGGTTTGTTACCTATTGTCTCTTAACTCTGTGTTTTCTTATTCCTCCCCCTCCCTCCATCATTCTGCATCATCATCAGATTATTTACTTTTCCCCATCTCCTGATATTCGTGTACATACTGAATAGTTTCTTACCCAATTACGTTCTGGTGCTAGCATGCCTCGACCCCAGCATTATCTGACTTCTATGCCTTGGCTTATCATAGATCTGGATTTCCATTTTTTGATTCTCAGACCTTAGAATCTCTGATACAGGTGTGGGTTTCTGATCTTGAGACTACTCTAAAGTTTTCCCTGGCTCACTTTTCCTGACTTTGTCTCACCCTCACTACTATCCTCCTTCATTATCTCTCTCTCATCCACCTCATTTCCAAGGCTATCCACTGTTCCCCTCAGGGGTTTTGTGTGGATACACATACCCTTTTCTTTTCCATGTTGGCATGGTTATTTTCCTCAGCTATATCCCTTCATACATGGCTCCTTTTTTTTTTTATCTTGGCAGGAATGCCCTTTTGTCTCATGTGCATCTGCTTACTTCTTTTTTGCGAGACCTCCATTTGGTCCCATTTTTATGACAGTCAGTTTTGGTGGAACTTTCTGATACTTTTAAGTCTCGGGTGGTGGCTGCATGTCAACATTCCTCCCTTTCCTCCCTTGCTTCTCGTCTTTCCAAACCACTCCTACCCCTGTTCCTGCATCTCACCCCCCTGCACCTCCCCACTTAATAATGTCCCCTTATTGGGTTTCTGTGGTGAGTCATCAAATTGCCCATTATCATGCTTTCCGACACTAGTTTCTTCAGTGATTATCTCGTGGGCTCTGGCACTGTGGAAGCACAGTTAGCCAGATTTGTTCACTTATGATGCCTGTTCACTGTGGACTTATAAGTTCTTCAGGTTCTAATAGAAAGACTAGCCCTTGGATTTTCTCCCCTTCCTTTTATCTTCTTAACCAGTTTCCTTCCCCCCTCCTCAGGATCCCATTTTATACTAATGTCTCTTAGAGGTGGTTCACAATTTTTTGCATAAAGATGTTATCAAACATGTATTTCATACTTCTCCATTGTTTTATTTCTGGTTGTTCGTGGTTCCCAAAAAACTGGGGAAGAAAACCTAAACTGGTTCATTGTCTTCCTGTGGTTCACCATGGAGTCCTTCCTCACTCTTCATTTGTCATTCACTCCAGGTCTTTGGTTAACCATGGTCAACATCTTGATGTTTACTTTCATATCTCAATCTCTCCAGCATCCAGATGGTACATTTGGCTGGTTCATGAAGGTCAAGTTTTTCATTTCCATGCTCTACTTTTTGGTCTGGCATTGGTGCCGTACGTCTTCTGTTGTGTGTTCCGAGTCTTTGCCCACCATCTTTACACTCAGGGTTTGCAGCTACATCATTATATGGATGACTGGCTTCTTTTAGCTCCATCCCAACAAGCCTCTCACAGTCATACCCATTTTCTCTGACCTGGCATGGCCAGGTGGTTAGGGCACTTGACTCGCAATCTGAGGTTCATGGGTTCGAATTCCCCATCCCACCAAACATGCTTGCCCTTTCAGCCTAGGGGGCATTATAATGTAACGGTAAAAGAGTAGACCAAGAGTTGGTGGTGGGTGGTGATGAGTAGCTGTCTTCCCTCTAGCCTTTCACTGCTAAATTAGAGATGGCTAGTGCAAATAGCCCTTAAAACAAACAAACCCATTTCCTCCTATAAGAAACAGTTCATGTGGGATGGCTTATTAAGCTGAACAAGCCCTATCTCACCCCGACGTGGTTTATTATACATTTGGGGGTGTTTTCCAACACCTACTCCAACAGGTCCAAGCCTGGTACTTTTCATTGGAGGTTAATGGAGCTCTTGGTTTCCAAAGCCAAGTCCTTTCCTTCTCTACTATCCTCCTTCCCTAAAATTTGACTTTGCTTGGTGGCTCGATGGAGACAACACCTTGATTGGTGTTCATCTGTCTCCTTCCCATCCTGATTTGCACCTTTTTAACAGTTGCTTTTCTTACAGGGTGGGGAGTGTATCTGAATTTTTAGAAGATCTGCAGTCATTGGTTGAATCCTCCCTCCACATTAACCTTTAGGAACTTCTTGTAGTTTGTTGGGCCTTAGATCATTTCCTACCTTTAGTATGGGGCCATTTGATCATGATCCATTCCAACAGTCAAAAATGGGGTACCTATTCCCATTTGCTTTTTTTCAAATGTTGGATCTCATTTTCTGGGCCCAGTCTTGGCAAGTTTGTCTTCTTGATTGTCACATCCTGGGTCCTCTGATTTATGTAGCATATCAGTTATCTCATCCAAACAAGATTCTACCAAAGGAGTGGTCTCTTTTTCTTCAACTGTTTCATTGGTTATGCTCTGTGTTTGGTACTCCTCTTCTAGATGCAATTGTTACCATTCTCAATACCAAGCTGCTGCTCTCCTGGTCTCCAATTCCACATCTTTTGGCTTTGGTGATGAATGCATTCAGTTAAGATTGGGCCAATCTACCTTTATGCTTATCCTCTTATCCATCTTCTTCCCCATGTTCTCTCCCTTGTCCAAGCCACTCCATCCCGAGTCCTTCTAACCACCCCATTCTGGCCTATTCAAATGTGTTTTCCAGTTCTGAATCTCCTTCAAATATCCCCTCTTATACCTATTGCACTTTTGTGTTCTCTTCTACATCAACCTCAGTCAACCATATTTCATTCCGCCTTTACCACACTCTATTGTCTGCACTGCTTCCTACCTTGGTTTCTGTTCCCCTTGTTTTATACCATGAACTACTTCCTCTACCTATGATCTTTCTCCTATTACCCTTACCAGATGTATTCACCAGCTTATTCATCTTGCTTATACGTCATTATCCGAGGATTCTTATTGCATATTCCAAGTATTTTCCCACCAGATACATCATCTAATTTTTTCTCTGGCTATCTAATTCTGTTGTCCATTAAAATATATTATACCGGCTGCCAGATGAACCATGCATCACACATTTATCTCCCACTATCTGCATTATTTTGCTGTCTCCTCCTCATCTGGCTATCAATTGCCACCCATTGCCATTCTCCATACATCATTTCAACTCTGAGGGGGTAAGTTCTTCCTTTTATTTCTTCCCTTTCTATTGACCCATTTTCCTTTCTTGTATCCTGCTTTGTGGGGCTTGTCCAGGTATGCTTAAATGTAAGTCCACACCATATGGCATACAGGTCTATAATGCTCACTGAAGAGATGGGGTGTTCCACATGATCTCCTTGCAGTATCTTGATTCATAGATAAATCCTGCA